CTAGTAAATTAACTTTCCTTCACAGCTCTCCGACATTTGGTGTGCAAGAGGGGCTACAGGTTATAATGGATGGTACATGCATTTAAATAGTTGAATGCTGCAACAGACATGGCTCAGACGCCGATACCGAGGAAAAACGTTTTGATCAATATTATGTAAAAAAGTACCATTTTTCGACCATAAATTTGATGGATGTTCTCCAATATGCGTAAACGGTACACGGTAGTGAGCAGCTATATGTTGTCGAATTGGCTGGTGAGGCCAACGGTGCTGAGTAGATCTCCGGCGACGTTCAACAGATGTGTAACAAACCTGTTGAGACCGGTGCGAGATTTGCATCGGGTTACTTTGACGATGTGTACGTCTATAGCCGGGCCATGGATGGAAATTTGGACGTAGACGTTCACAGAACACACGTTCGTCGGGCTCTCTAACTTATTTGGGAACATAAGCTACATACCAAGCCCAAGTTTTGGATGTCGCTGCCAGATGTATCCCAATTCTTGGGCGCTTCGCACGTAAAAACGGAGTACGCCGTGACCCCAAAAAGAAATAGGATATCACCGACTGGCCTGTGCTAGATGGTGTCAAAGAACTTAGAAATTTTCTTAACCATTACACGTGGTATGTGGTGGTATTGCAAGCGTCTGCGCGTACATGTATTACGAAGCAGACGGCGCAAAGCGCATCGTCTGCCATCAGTCTCGTCAGCTGCCAGCTTCTTAGCATGATTATAAAGTGCATGACAAGTAACTTCTTGCCATAAAGTACGCACTGGCTTAGTTTCGCGTGTATCCCCTAATAGATAGACCGTTTATAGTCTATACGGACCGTGCGTAATTAAGCACGGCCCAAAACAGTCCAAACACGTCGCAAAGGATAAAGAGGTGGCTATTCTCCTTTGCTAAGTAAAAATGTTCAGTGGAATATAGACACGGACGACTCAATGTCGTCGCGGACGCTTTATCGCACCTACCCGAATTCGAGTCGTCTGCTCAATCCAACAGTGGGGTATTCATCAATTTTGCAGCACTAATATCTAGAGTTCCATCGTCAACACTGCTTGACGACATCAAAAAGGCATACTCATAGATTAGGCTCTTCTACGACTAGTAAATGATCTGGTTCTCCCTCTCGAAAATTTCTCAAATATTTACTGGCTAGTATCGATCCGCAGAGGATCGTTACAAACCATGCAACTGGTAAATAGAATACACAGCCTTTGCCGGCGACACACATTGTGTTGTCATCCCCACCCAAAACGTATAATTTTCACGATGCAACAACTCGTGAGTATCGTGGGTGTGAGGAGACTAATCTCGCGGGTATTTGCGTATTTTACTGATCCTACAGTTAAAGTTTGTGCGCAAGTACATTTATGCTTGTAAGGTGTGCCAACTGGATAAGCCTATTCCTTCATTTGGGCGCCTATGCAGCCTCTACTAATTCCGGCAGAGTGCTGGCAGTCCGTATCGATGGACTTTGTCTTCGGATCATCAAATAAGCTCACAAGAAGAATGGAACCTTTGTGTTTGCCGATTAATTCAGCATGACGTACCATCTTGCTACCTTTAAAAAGTCAATTACACCGCAGGGTTGTGCCTGTGTCTTCATTGACACAGTGTTTCGACTTCACGGTCTGCCCCGTAAAGTAGTCTCCGACAGAGACCCTCGAATCGAGGCGGCGTTCTGGCAATCCGCATTTTGATCCCTCGCAACACGTCTGACTATTTGCACTTCTGACCAACCCGAAACATATGATCAGACAAAACGCGTCAATTGCCTCCTCGAACAAATACTTTGAAGTACGTCGTTTTGGACACAGTTTAGTGCGACCTTTTGCCAATGGTGGATTTTTTTGTAACAACTCCGTGCATGCGTCGACAACGCATTTAGGGTTCTTCGTGAATGGCTTACGCCATTTACGCCTACTCGCCATCTTACAGTGTGACTTTGATTAAAGGGAGGAAGGATTCTCTTGAGCACAAACCTTTTTGTCTCTTGATGATATCGTGTCAAAGTACTCGTCGACTCGACTGTTGCCAATATCAGTTTGATCGACATCGAAGAAGATAACATTAGCAATAGTGACGAAACTTCTGCTGACACATTCGAGGTCGAAAATGCTAATATGTTCAGCATCGATAATGTCTATGACATCGAGGATGATGACAATCTCGAAGAAGAAGAGAGATAACTCCCAGTAGTGTGTCTTCAGTGCACTGATAAAAACACAACATAGTCAGCGGAAAACTTTATGTTTACATGAGAAGCAGTGATCCACTGTGTGTTAGACTCCATCGCAAACGCGGTGGACCGGCAGAAACGGAACACTGACAAACATAGAAGAGCAAACTTTCTTATTGTTATTGTCCATAGAAGTGCTATCAGCTCGAGATTTTTTCTTCGGTAGAATGCAATTGCCACGTTAAAGATACTCCAAGAGATTCAATGGCCCCTAGCCAGTTGTTCAACCTATCTCTGTGGTTCCACATTCTGGCGACGAATGTCATACACTTTGCTGTGAGAGGCTTGACGTCTCTTCTCGTTCTTTAATTTGTGGAACGCGAGTTCAGCTCGGTAATAAGACCGATTTAAGGGGAGGCGTTTCACTCACGCATCCAAAGAGGCTCAGTTCTGTCTCTCTTGATCCGTGCAATCACACAGATCGCGTAAACTTTGCTAAACACGATCTAGCTACATTTTCAGCTCCAACCCATAATTTGGAGTTATTCTTCCCACCCCCCCCACAGCCGTTGGTGAACTCGAACGGTGGCCAACGCTTTCACGTTAAGCGTATCTTTGAAAAACGCGACGCGAAGGGGCATCGAACGAGTAACCTTCTTCGCTCGCGGTTATTCGTTGTCGCACGACATCTGGAAATCTCTCGCCCAGATATTGGTTAACGTATAGGGTCTCTTCCACCAGTACGACGAGACACATCCGATGACTCAGAAGTGCCATTGGAGAACACACTCCCACGGCGCTAGTAAGCGATTGCAGGTTAGCAATCATATCGTGCATCTCAGAAGAGATGTGTGCCCTACCTTAGGGCCAAGATAGGAAGGGAGCACACGTCCTTCCGGATGCGCTATGTGTTGTCAAAACAACACGAACATGCGTCGCCCCAAGTGAGGCATGGAATTCCTGCCTCACGCGATAGATGGTGCACTAAATTTTTTACCTGTTAAAGTTCGTTTATCAAACCTGACACGAGCTGCGTCAAGTTATCTTATCCAGGCATCATGCTTAATATGCTGCACATTGAGTATGAAGGTATTCCACGCCTGCAACAAAACGCTTTTCCCTCGTTTGTGGTTGACGCTATACTAATGATGAGAATCATCGAGACATATGTCCTCTTTAGCGCGAAAGTTGCTCGCACTGATGTCGAGACCGAGCAACAGCCTTGCATCGAACAGTGGGATTCAATGATGTTGACTTGTCTCGCCTGACAAGTCATTCACAAGCCTCTCTGGTAGTACCCAATGCTTGTGTTCAGGGGCTAGACGCATTACGTTGCCGTCTAGAGACACTTTCGTGATACCAATGGAAGTCTTAATATCACTACAATTGTCATCACAATGTTGCAACGCATCACCGCATTTGCTAGGAAGCAAATGCGCAGTAGCAGGCGCAGGGGATGAATCAGCATGCTCATCCTTTAAACTGAACAGGCTACTATAGTGAACATGATCCTTAATACCGCTTGAGTCTTATTCACAGGCTCATACTCTTTCGCCCCTTTATACTCGAGCGACTTAGGCGTCTCCTTCGAGTCGGACTTATTGTCCGACTCCCCGCATAGATGATGTTCATATGGGTATCATTATCATTATTAGCATTTGATGGCATACCACGTGCCTCTGCCGTAACAGGTGTTGCAGGTAGAGTTGAAGCGGCAGCAGACGAATCATCTTCTGCCGCAAGAGGCTGGGCATCGTCAAGAGCAGCTGTAAAAACACGCAAAGCTGTCTTCTCAGCAGCTTCCGCCGCGCATCGACCTATCAACCATGCGATGATGATGATCCAAAAATTAGTGGATCCATCCAAGACGAGTGCTCCCTGTCCATGATGTGGTCACTGTTTGACCACATCCACATGACAGTACTGAGTGACTATCGTTTAAAAGCGGTGATGTAACGGGGTGAGCCTGTTACATGTAGTTAACTTTGCTACTTACAAATTAGAATATTATCATAACGGTTGACAATGTTCGTGAATATTATCATAAGATGTAATACTCCGAAGAACTTGCCGATCGTCGGATATGGGCCGTCAAATCGGCCCGCTCTAGCGGTCCAATCGACGATAGACGCGCGCAATGAGTGGTGAGCAAGACTTTAGCAGACACTTTTGTGGATAATCATGCTTACGTTAGGACTAAACATACGTACATGTATTTAGGACTTAATTGTATTCAATACAGTTTTACTTCCTACTCCTATAGAACGCTTCGTTCATCAGCTAGCCTTCCTCTGTACGCACAGTGTACGTGAAGTGACGCGCGTCACTACCTACACTGTTGTCAGTGTAGGTGCACTAGTGTTGAAGCAGTACTAGTGACCAGTGCCCCATTACACGTTATTTGCTGTTATTTTTCTAAAGTAGCCCACTCGTAATCAAAAGTCAAGTAGAACAATTTAGTGACGTTCGAGGGCGAAAGGTAGTAGTCACAATACTGTAGCACAGAGACGAATACACGTCACAGTAGTGGATCTACATCCAAACAATGATTGCTGATTAAAGGGAATAGCAGTACATCAAGTCGCTAAGCACAAAAGTTGACTTTGCGCTTTCAGTGTACGATGGTGCGATTAACACGACGTCCTCATTCACGACCGTGGAAGCAACGTACAGCAACAAAAAGTCGAGGTCAGGTCGTGTCAGCTCAATTAAGCGACTAGTCTGAGCACTTTCACATCAGAGCGATAGCAAAACAAGATTATCTGGTACATGAGTACACAAATTTTATGTCTCGCTTTGCCTCGACCCTGTTGTTACATGGACTGAATCGTCATGGCTGTCGTGAAACGATGTCGAAAGGATTGACTTTCACTCAAATGTCGAATGATGCTCGTGAATATCCGTATCGCACACCTTGTAACGGTTGTAAGCGGAGCCATGCGTTCTTCGTCGATTTTGGTTGGAACGGGATGTTTGCCATTCGAGATGACCGCAACTCCACGTAGGCTCCTCGGGAGCTCGAAGTTTGCCTTGTTAGCGTGAGTAGCAGATGCTGCATTGGAGCTGGTAGTCGTAGAAGCCACTGGTTTCGCACACGTCAGACGACTGATTGAAGCCGCGAGCAAAAACCAGAATAGCAGACGCATAAGATTGGCTGAGTGCACAGTACGGACGGATACGTGTCGAGCGCACTAAAAATAATCGACGCCACTTGGTCAGATGAGCAGATCGAGCTGGGTGTGTACTGCCGTAGGAACACGTGTCGAGACACAAGAAATCGAGACTGATGACGACTCAGTGCTTCTTTGCACGCTCATCTCCCGCAGCATCCTGTCCGACTCACTCTCATGATTGGCACTCGTAGTAGCCAAACAGCGATCTTGGCTGCTCTCTTACAATCCCGTCGGAAAATTTAGCTCGTCAGCCTTCTTGGGGTATCTACAAGCATATTGATAGGTCCTCGAGAGCTGCAAAACACATATGCGTACCTTTTCGCAGTACTCATGAGCGACGGATGACCACTTGCTAGATCTTTGTCATGACCTTATAAGCCCATGCGCACGGTTTCCTCTTCGCTTGGCAGCAGGGCATAGCGCATTTCCTCGCATGGTGACTGCCTGGTCTGCCGAATTGTGATACTCGTTTGTTTTACGGAGGATGTGTTTACGACATCACGTCATTGTGGAATCCAGCAAGTCAAAACGTGCCGAACTGAGACCGATCCATACGTCGTCACAGTTCACGATTTGGAGACACAGACTCCGGCTTCATATGGTACGACCATGACTCCGGCTCTTGGTATCGTAGCCTATCTAGTCTTTCACTTCCTGTCTGAAGTGTCCCAAGCCGATTGTAAAATGTGAAGTCATTGTACTGATTGGAGATTGCACACCCAGTTGTCGTACGGTCCGCTGTCTTGAGAAGTGAGCAAGCTATCAGGATTATCGGTCTTTGCAAGGTCATAATGCTGTAGGAGCAATCAAAGTGGCAATGCAGCCTGTCAATGTATGATAGTTAAGTATCAAACCACTCTGACTTTGCAATACTGATCAGTAGTATGCCATGATAGATCTGTAGTTGTTCTTCGCATATGGCACCTAAATCAGGACGGCTTAGCACTACACAGCTGCTCAAGATACCAAGACACACTGGATGTAAGCGACTTCAAACGCGCCTGTGTTGAACGGTCTCTCGTATGTATTGTATCTCCGATCGGCCTTCGGTCAATTGTTTGTGACCGAGAAGGGCTCGGGCAGAATCCTCTCAATGCAGCAGTGAATGGTCCAGCTACTGCACCGCCTGTTCAAATTCTAAGGAACATTCAAAACACGTCAGCTTTCGCGCAGTACGATGCATCGGCGTCGAACTACGCAGCACATTGATGTCGCGACAGATTGGCCCTACCAAGTCGTAAAGTCCGACTATGTTGTTGTTCGACCTTTCATCATCAAATCACTAAAGTGTTAGTAGACATAATGTGAGCAAGCCACTCACACAACGGTCTGAGGCTACCAAGTCCACAGATCAACTATGAAGATTGACTCAGCCCAGTTCTGTTACGTGGGATGTCTGCAGACTAAGTAAAACTTGGGCCAACCTCAGTCGTGATTAACGTCTGCACGGGCAGTTTCTCTCACGTATCGAATGTGGTGGCTCTCGAGACATCCAGCTTCGAAGTTAGTTGGAAGCAATGATTCACAGAGCCATGCAAAATCTAACCGATGCTGTGGACTGCCAGAAACTTTGTTGCTGCTTAATCTGCCTAATCATTGCACTCTTACCCACTGGTGTTGAAGAGAAGAGATCGTCAAATCGCCACCAGGTCTGCGACTCCCAGCCGCCAGCTCTGTCCTGGCGAATCGAGACTGTCTACTGGTCATCTATTTACTCGTGGCGCGTGGTCCCGTTTATCATTGTAGCTGCTGCCACCGGCAGTTATGGCGCAGGTGATGTCAGAGGTTTGTTTTCTTCGCGAAGTATTACTTTCGGTAGATTGATACAAGGATGGTCCATCCACTGCCTTCGGACGTAAATGGATGAGCATTCGACCCCAGTCACCAGCGTCGGCGATAGCGTGGTCAATTTTTGTGCATCTAGTTAAAAACAGAGGAGTTCTAGCGGTCGAATCGCTGGGCGCAAGGGTTTCACGTCCTACAATACTGATACGACTTCCTTAGCGAAGCCCTAAATCGAAATGACTCGATGCTGCCCTGATGACAATCTGATTGCAAACGTATCCAGACGAGCATCACCGTGAGCACTTAGCACAGAGCAATGGCACTTTTTACAGAGATGACCATTTGTGGTGTCTTACCACGTGACGGGCGTAAACGCGCGTCAAGCGCGGAGCGAGCAGCCAGAACTCGCACGAGCTGCAGGAAATGAGACGCGGCGTGGTTTAAGCCCGATATCAGCTTACCCAGGTTTGCTCGCAGCCAAACTTTCTATCTCGTCCGCATCCAAAGTTATTTAAATTATTCATCCCAGCCTTGAACGGCTTGACTTGGCTGCTACTGAGCGCAGGGCACTCCTTTTTTGGCGCGCATTATATTGCATCAGCTGGGAATAGGTGCGAGACCAACGTCATTAAGACGAAGAATGAGTTAGTTTAAAAAAGCAGTAATTATCGGTGCATATGCACATTGGTTAAGTACATAAAGACTTAAGATCTCCACGTGAACACGCAGTCCACCAAAGTAATGGATCGAACGCTTTCTTAAAATGCAATACGTCATATCACTTGATCGAGCGCTTTTTGAGCCAAGTTCTTGCTCACATATTTACATGTAGCGAGACGTTTTTCAGCCGCCACCCTGTCATTAATCAGCCATCATCCACTAGTTATTTGTATGGTTCGAGATTCATTTGGAAAAAAGTTCATTTGAGAGGACACACAAACATACAACATTTTAAAAGTCATTGGACAGATCTTTGGCAATACATTAAGTTAGGTGCTATTAGATCAAGCGCACGACGTATAACTTGTCGCACGTCTTACTGAATCTAATACCACGGAAAGCGGGATTGTCTCGCTGATCGATCCGTTTGGGTATACAAACAAACCAAGTACAGATATGCCGAATGTATTAAATTCATGGGCCGCCGCAATTTAAAAAGGTAGACAAGTAGCCCTTACATGAGATCAAGAGCATCATGCTGTGATGTGCTATTTAATGTCAAGGACTCGTCATTACAAGTTGAAGAGTGCAGATTGATATATCGGAAGTTTGTTTAACAAACTTTATATCTGTGATTGGTGCGACACTAGACGGAGAGGCCAAATCTAACCTGGCCCTGAACGAACACTTCGTAATGCGAAGGACAACACGTTCACGAAATCATTTTTGGATTTCTGGGGGTTAGACTAGGAGCGGGGTATAAAAAACATTCACTGCATCATCTTTTTAAATTGCTTACCCTTTTTGCATTTGGCAACAACGACGTACCATTTTTGTTGCACATAAGCTTCACTTGCTCTCTTCACATCTTTTAAAAAATCGTACCCAATCTGGACTGTGACTCAAGACTTTGAACAAATCTTAGCAATAGAAGAGAGAGGTTCAGAGTGTCTATTTACGTTGCGTTATACTATGTGCAAGATCTCTGGTATAACCTAATCCAGGACGTAAGCGCCGGTGGACCCGAAAGCTTTTCGCGGCCGGTGACGGTTACCATTGGCAACCCTCTTGGTTCGCGTTCCAGCAACTCGATGCAGGCATAAAGCACTACCCCGGTTATTGCCAACGCTACTCATCGATACTGCCGCTTCGCTATAGCTCGAAGCTGGCGGATGCACATGGCCTAACAACTATCGGTGACTCGCGTAGTATATCGAAACGTTATGCACGGAAGACCGCTGCATTCCGGTCAGTCCAGATCCTGTCTGGTCTAGTACTTTGTCGAGAGAATGTGCCAGATGGTCGTCCATACACGGGTGGCCCAGGCCACATTGTCTTGAAATCGGTCGGTGAGGATTTTCATCCGGTGTGACGGTATCCTGGGGGCCTGTCGACTGGCGCAGGCGTCCAGTAATTGGTGGGTTCGCAGGCGGGACGCTCGTTCTCCTGTCCAGTGCTCAATGAGTTTAACCAGAGGGCAGCAGCGCTGTTGCACTCTCAAAAGAGATACTTGATAGTCTCGACACGCGTGAAACGCTCGTGCCTTTCTGCAGCTGTTGTCCTCAAGACGTGCCGCATGGTAAAGTTTAAGCTGGCGCGTCGCAACCCAAAATCCTGTCCAGACTTGATATTGAAAGAGTCCACGACTATGTTCCCACACTTGCTGCGAATATTGCCGGTGCTCGACGCTCTGCAACTCGTGCGTGGGAGCCCTGGCACCGAAACGGAAATTATATCCAGCAGGGGGCGGGAGACACTGTAATGTGAAAACTGCAAGCCCGGCGACCGATCTCCTGAGTGATGTGGTATTTGGACGTGGTCTCCGTAACGGACCAAGAAAAATGGTACAACAGCAGGATTGCCTCAAAGATGAGCCCCTGTGTCAGGAGTTTGCAGCGAAGCGCCCGTCGAGCGTCTGTAGAATCGATGATAAGGTTTGGAGACCACCCATGAAGAGAACCAGTGCAACCCGACACTTGCTTAATATAAAGTTAAAGACCACTGTCGGATCAGCAACCCAGACAATGATCTTCCTTCAATGATTCTAGCGCCCTGCAGCCACCAGGCGTAGTTCCGTGAGCGGTGGTGCATGTCGGAGTAGCAATGGTGACTTCTCGTTAAACGCCTCACAAATAAGTATCTCTGGGGAGAATAACAGCAAGGCTGTCGCTCACATCCGTAATTTAGCGGCCGAGTGAGGACCGAGGAGGTGTTGCTTTAGAGGCACCGTCAACATGAATTTCTCCGGTTCCGTGCGCAAGATGTCAAGCGCTGCCAGAGAGCAGACCGATATTCAATCGTACTTGGTGGGGATTGGCATGTGACCGCTCGGATAGCGGATCCAGGGGTTTGCAATCTAATGAAAGGTAGGCCAGAACCCCTGGAGTTCGAGGAAGAAATCGTCGACTCCGAGTGGCCTTCGTGAAAAAAAGTAGTAATGCGACAACACGAAGTCCTCCCCGTTCCACCAGATAGCGGCTTGTTCGAGCAGAGCCGACGATCAAACTGCAAGCCACACTGTCAAGCTG